GGGGGGGGGGGGGGGGAGGGAAGAACAGAGTGGGAAACTGTTAATTGTACACAGAAAGCGCCGTTAGAATTACATCATACCAAAATGGTTTCTGATATACACTAGCGAATTGTTTTTTTGCTAATGCGTAATGAATTAAGTTATTTAGGAAAGATTATTGTGCTGATAACGACATTAGTCTTTCTTTTAATGGATGTTAGCGGAATAAAGGTTGCTGTCGTGAAAACTTCCTTTTGAAAAGACGAAAGATGGAATCTAGACCCTAAGATTGTTAAATTATCATAAGAAAACCCGTTGACTTTTGAGCCCTAAAATGTGTGCAATAAAATGTGTTAACGTATTTACCTGTGTCTTTTTAAAGGCATTTAAAATTGAAAAATTCAACTGATTCTAGGGGAGAGCTGCTGGTTAAAATAAAAGTAATCTTTGAGGCTTTCGAGTAATGCTCTACATAAATTATTTGGAATAACGATTCATAACTTACCAACTCTTTTATACTCTCGGAGGCGTTTGAAAAACCTAAAATGATATTTGTGTTGTTATGATTTCCTTGATTTTTAAAATGAAATTTTACAGAAAATAAATGAAATTCATTTAATATCTAGAAAAGACCTGAGAAAACTCATCACCATCCTTAAAGCATTTTCATTGTTTATATTGTTGCACTTTTTTTCAACACACTGCAACTGTTGACGTTTTTCTTCTAACTATTGTAGACACCTTCTAGCATTTTTATTGAATTCCTAAACCAGCGCTCTTGTAACTTTACTGCTGCGCTGCGTTCGACGAGCTTCAATATTGCATCGGGTTCTTGGTGCCGGATTCTTTTACTCATGTTTTGTTTTCATTTAACGCTAAACATATCCTCTTTTTCTGACCTGCAGTGTTAGACAAGCGAACCAGCGCCGGTCCGTGGAGCACAATTTAGTGAACGCTGCTCTCAACCACCCAAAAAAACCCGAATAAAAAAAAAATTTTGGTTAAGTTTGTGTCTTATCAAATATGACTTGTTTGTTTTTACATTAAATTTCCAATAATAGGATTATATTACAAATATAACATGAAACGTATGCATTTGATTTAGATTCTATTTTTTTTCCTTTATGTTACTTACACCATGTAGATTTGTTTTCTAGATTTCCATTACAGGATCGTTAGCAAAGTCAATTGTTTAAATGTTAAGATGTTTATAGTTTACATACCTTCCGTCATCGATTTGTTGTTTTAAATAGAGCACCACATCTTGTTCAAATTTCTGCAGATACGCAACCTGTGACTCCTCTCTCTTTCGGTCTGTCAATTAGAAAAGTAATATTTACTTTAATAAATAGAGGGATTCTATGTTGTGTTAATTCAGTAAGTTTACAACCTGACATTGAGTCTGATATGTTTAGATTCCGAGTGCAGAAAGTTTCAATTAGTAGTTTTATTTTTAATTTGTTGTTAAAAAGAAATGTTATAATTGTTACTATGCATCATAATCTTGTACACAAGTTAGTATAGATGTATGATAAGAACTAGCGCGGATAAAAATACTTTTCCTTCTTATAATTGAGACTTTGCTGTTAACGTTTTAAAAGTATAGTTTTCAATAGTATTCAATATTTCTTTTAATGATAATAAAAAAAACTTAGCAGATTGAGTATTTAAATATTTATTTAAAAATTGTTTTTCGAATTAATACTATTATTTTAATGTTTTGTTCAAATGCGATTTTGCAGACATAAGCAACATAGCTGATGTCAATAATTTAAATTTAAAGGAGCAAACTATATTGCTAAGTTTTAGAGGCATATATGAATTTACACTAGTAGAACTAAATGGCTTAGATCTAGATTACGACAAAATGAGGTATTTTTAAAAACTTCCACCCACTCTCTTCACGGTAGCGAAACACTCCAAACACTACACACAGGAGAAGTAGCGGCGGCTGTAGGAAAATGATTCTGTGATACTCCATTGTTAGTTTAAACATTTGGTGACGCCAGATCTCCACAGATTTCTCTTCCATGTACGTAATGTTTGAACTGAAACGAGGACATGTATCTCAGGTTCAGACGTTCATGAACAATGCACGGTGTTTAAAAATAAATAACACAGCTTGTTCAGATAAAGTTATCAATGTTTCAATTACTTATTTTTCCCCCCTCAAGCTATTTATTCCTAATAACACTAACTCAACTTTCAAATAGATATTGATTGATATTTGTATATTTGTCTCAATGTTTTTAAGTTAAAATGCATCGCTAAATTAAAGGTTATATTAATCCAGTTTCGTTTATACACGTACTTGAATTTAGCAACAATCAAGCTGAAGATGAGCAAGTTCACAACCAGAACAAACGCAGCCAGTATGATGGGCCCGTAGTATTGCCCAACAGAAGAAACGCACCGATCGTCGTTGAAGTTCCTGGTGCAGGTATTATCTAAAGTAAATATGTTGGTTTAAAAACAAAAAAAATGTTAATGAATTAAATACATTCTTATTACCAGATTCAATCTGATAATACAATAATGCAACGAACAATGGTTTGTTATTAATTGGACATTTTATAAAAAAATATAAATCACATACATTATTTTTATTTTTTCACTGCCATGCTTTCTTGGAACACACAAAACAGTTTCCTATGAAGTGTTACTGGGGTCAAGATAAGCTCAATGATTTCCAAAATGAACCAAAACTAAACTAAACGTGTGCCCCCACTTCTTTTATATGAATTGGTTTTTCTGACACTTTAGTTGGATAAGCTATGGCTTGCTATTGAATCTGATTAATTTGAATTTTTTTCTTGTCCCATGTCTCCAATTAATATTTTTAACACTTTAAGTTCCTCTTTCATACTTAAATCGTGTTAAGAGCCGACTGTATGAAAATGTATTGGTTATCTGAGATGTGTGGGCCAAACAATCAAACAGTACAACGAAAGTAGTATAAAAAAAAATTATTAAACCATATAATTGTAACAAATCCGATAAGTGCATTGCTATTTTAAAAAAATCACATCTAATTACTATTATAAACATTACTATTATAAAAGTAAGCCATGTGTTTGATTTAGTTTAAACAAAATTAAAAAATTAAAGTTTAATATTGATCGTAACTTTTTTTAAATGACACATACACATTTTTCTCCTTAAATTTTATGTGGTGAATACTCCATTGTAAAAATTAATTAGGGCATGTATTTTCTCCAAATCAACATTTGTTTAAAAATGTGTGTGTAAATGCATGCTTGGGTTTATACACATTTATGTTTTGGTTTTGACACATCATCCGTTCTAGGAAACAAAACAAAAAAAGAAAACATGTTTACCTGGTCCTTCTATTTCATTGAGAAAGAATTCCCCGAACATGCTCCAGTAAGGCTTACGGAACAGTGTGTAGAGTTGCGTCACGTTAAACTGCGCCTCAGGGTACATGACTGACTCGGTAGCCACCATACATCCCAGCAGGAAAACTCCGATTATTGCCAGGAATCTCATCAAAGTCCAAAACTGTTATTGAAAAGTTTATACAGAAAGGCAAACGATTAGCATAGTGACATATGCGGATATCTAATGTTATCTAATTTGTACCCATTTGACGTGTCTATATATTGTGTTGAATTGTAATACATATGCTGTATAATCAAACAAAGATTAATACATTTAAATTATAAAACGGGCTTGAAATACGTAGTTTACCAACTCAGGTAAGTAGCGAATCTAATTTAGAAATGGGAATATATATCTCGTATAGAATAGACGCATGAGTCACTTCGTCCTAAAATTTGCGGCTCGAAACATATTGTAGCAAAACTAATCCAATAGTTGCAAAGTTCAGATATTTTTTTTTTCAAACATTAAATTATCCTTTTACCTGCGGCTACCATGTTAGTTTGTGTTGTTTTTAAATATTATTTTTGTTGGCGGACGTTTTGTCTGATCGTCGATCATGTTAATCCTTAAAAAAATTCAACATCTGATTTAAAAGAACGGAACATAGTGTTTCAAAGAAACAACCGGTACACTAGCATGCGCCTGAGAAAGTGTACAATTAAAATCGACTGACCATCACAAAGAGCGTAGCTGTTATGGGGCCTAAATATTGATTGGCGTAAAAGAACTTGAACAGTCTCAGTGAGAACGCTATATAGTCCAGGCTGTAGAAAACCCGGGCGGTATTCATCAAGGCGTCATTTCCTTGGTTAAGAAGGGCTGCTACACGCAGAGAGATGGCCACGTAGAAGAAGAGGACGCAGCAGGTATCTATGCCAAAATAGATGTCTAGGACATGTCTGTTGAAAGGGAACTGATGGAAAAAAAATTCAAATATGTATTTGAAATTTTAGATTTCTGTTTTTCTAACATCCTTCATCTACCCTTAAGCCCTTTAATATTTACACCCTCGCTTCTCCCTCCACCCCTCCTTTTCCTCCATCGCACCTCCCTTCTTCAAACATCCATCCCTCCCTACCATTCTTCCTGCCTCCTAGTTCATACCTGTCTTACTCGTTGCCTTATACATACCTGACATTTTTAGTTTATTTTATGCTTAATGTAAATAAAATATGACATGAATTTATTAACTTTTCATCAATGCTTTTGTTATATTATTAGATGACAACCTTGTTCTTCAAATATGGAAAAGTAGCACTATCCTGGCGATAGTATTAAAAGATGACAGATCAAGTGCTTGTCTTAATTCACAGTTTACACATAATACATAGACCACTGAAAATGGTCTCTGCTTCGAAAAAAATTAAGTAAAATATAATTTCTGTTAGATATACTTATTATTTGATTCATAAAATTTGTTACAAAAAATTGAATGGGTGGCTTATGCACAAATATACATCAGAGTTTCTGGAAACCATTTGTCCTTTCTGACTATATATTTTGTTTTAAATATTTAAATAGACTACAACATGATGAATTACTTATTTCTTTCGTGGAAATAACTACTAATAAGTGTTATGTAATTACCGCTCTCTGTATCAATTGTAGTGTTAATGTTAACACCCAAATTGGCGGCAGGTACTCCAAGATTTCAAACTTTGAAGCCTTCAAATAGTAAAGCAGCTGGATGCCATACATAATATGGAAAGCAAAGTAGAGGAGCTGTTTGTTGAGAAACAGGCCAACAATTAATTATAGTGTGAAGTTAAAATAAATCCATGACACGATTCAGAATAACTCCAAGTCATTAACATTAAAATACGTATTTCATATTAAGTCTGCAATGGAAGCGGTCATGTTAAATCAAGGTAAAAGCAGCAACGAGTTATTGCTTCTTCCAAGTTGTTAAAAAAATTATCTGATAAAAAACTCACGAAGTTAATGTAGAACAGACTTTTGGGAGACCTGAGTTTAATGCAGAACCAGTGGAGTGTTCGTTTAGCGGGACGGTCAGGGTCAATCCTAAAAAAAAGTTTTTAAAAATTACTCATCAGTGCCGTCAAACAATAAAACATTTTAGGGTGAAGCTCTGTCAAAGCCACATTCACCGACTGAATGCTGATAACGTGCGAGATTACACGAGAGTTTGTAACATGGGGAAAGGGGAGGACAAAAGAAAAAAAAAACTTACAATCGGGATGGCTTGATAGGGAGCAACACATGTGTTGAATACATGAGCAAAGCAACCATTCTGAAACCTTTGGGGGATTTAACATGGATACTACCTTCTTCTTCTTTCTGTTGCTTGTGTAAGGGAGGCATCGCGGTGTATCGGCTATAATTACCAACGGCGTTGGGCAAGATGAGATGAATAGTGAGACCAAAAAAAGTAATCTGTTGTGTAGCTATTTGGTCATTGTAAAAATGCTAATTCCTCTATCAACGGGACCAACGTAGGTGTCATAGTGAGGTCAGTTAACTACTGTGTTGTGAGGAATTATAATAACATGACCAGAAATTCTTCAATTCAGCGTAATCAAGATTTGAGCTGGGTCATTAAGATGTTAAAATTGAATGACAACGGTGGCCAGTGTGAACCATTTATGGTGCTATGTTATTTAAGCTGTCCGTTTGGGCCAGGTATGGGAGAGTGTTTGTCAATCATGTTTTGTTGTGGTGTTGGGGACAAGTACATGATTTCCAGAGATCAGATTTTGAGGCGGAGTACTAGTCTCTTAATGAGTAGACAGCAAGATACAAGAAAATGGGAACAAATCCTAAAATTTAATTTAATAGTTTAATTTAATTTTTAAAAAACTACAAAAGATAACGTGTCCTAATTATATCCAGATGGCATGTGTTTCTGGTGATGAATTTCCACTGCTATAGAATTGTTGTAACAAAATGTTGACTATGTTTTAGTAAGCACCCTACATCAGCGAAGCCAGATTCTCTGTAAAGCCCAAAATCGAGTTTTAAAAAATCAGAACTAAACGCACTGACATTTGAACATTTAAAAATCTAATGAAGGCAGGCGCCACTGATAATAACCTAAAATTAAGAAAATTTAAAGCCACACTTTCATTGAAATTGCTACAATTTTTATTCACATTATGTATAATCTGAATGGGCCAATCATGCTATTAGACATACGACCCTTTATGCGTAATGAAAGAAGTATTAATAATATAAATACTTTTCTAAAATAAAAAAAAATAAAAAATAGTTTCTAGCTGTCATTGCAGCGCCAGGGTTCGCGTGAAGTAAATTGGGTTACGTAGTCAAAAATGTTGACTAGCACTGTTCTACTGAACCACTTTCATGAATATTGTACTTGGAATTTTAATATAACAATTATATTGAGCTAAGTGAACTTATTTCTGCAATTGTTTAATTTTTTTAAAAGCTAAATCATTTGAACTTGTTTCCACGAAGGTCTACTTACGTTTCAGTTACAAGGGGCTGTGAAAATAATGAAGTTGTCAATTTACAACAAAAATATAAAAAATTAAAAATAAAAATGTTAAATACTGAAAATTGTCCAAAAATTGTCCAGAAAATTGGTCTATTACCTGACTGGTAAAGTTTTACATTGTTAAATAAAATATATACATAATAATATTAGTTGGTGATATATTACTTTATACCCATATCATCAGATTTAATTGAATCCAGCTCGCCAGGAAATAATATAAATGAATATTCCCTTGTTCCAAATTCTTCATACCCCAAAGGCGTCTCCAGTTATTAAAAAATCACATTTCTAAATACATTGATAAAAAAAGGGTTGTATCTCATAATATGCCGTTAATTTTCGTGTATGGGAGAATAAGTGGTGCGTTTGGCATTATGTTTAGATTTGTATTAACATGTGTTCACACTTTTAATGACTGATCGTTGGTAAAGATTCGTCTCCTAGAATCAATGTCTAAATTCCTAATACTCCTGGAATCTTTGAATATATAGAGTGTATACAATTTCTTATGCCTAAATGATTAAACTATGTTAGAGCTTTTGAAATGAAAACATATTATTCAATATTTTAAATATATTTCTATTTATTTATGAATGACTTTTGTTTACCTGTGCACGCCAAATACGCCCCTGAAGATCTACTAAAGGCTGTTCAGACAAGAACTCTTTGTTGTTTGTGGCTAAAGCTATTTGTACACAACTGGCATTTCCCCATTCCTCCACGGTCTCCAGCAACATATTAAATGTTCCTGTGCTATTCTTCACGTAGCTGCTGTTTACTGCCTCAATCGATAATTTCTTGTATGTGCTGAAGAAAAATAACAAGAGGATATTAAATTAATATATTTTTGTATCATTAAAGGGGGATTTTTTTTATTAAAACAATAATCCCTTTAGATCTTTGGTTTTAGTTTCTTGTGGGAGTGGTTGGATTTCTTAGTGGACAACAAACAATTTGATAGATTTTAGGAGGCCTGATATATTATAATCAACACTCACTGAAGGAACATTCAATTTTCATTACAGCCATTGACGCTTTTATCGATGACGTATTACCTACGTCTTTCATTAAAAAAATAATGATGGCCACAGATGTACTTCTTGCCCCATCCTAAATCATGGAGCAATGTTATCCCATTACTCGCAATAACTTCCACTAAGGTGACTTTGTAGCAATAATGACGATTCTTTGCGGAAGTAAATGTAGAACGTTTTAAGTGTATGCTAATAATGCCTTTATGCCTGGGATGTAGGGAGACGTACAAGCCAAACCAACTCTAAAAACGAAATTATAAAACTTTTTTCTAAGTCTATTTGGAACTCTGTTTAGATTGAAATGCATGATGTTTGAAACTTTTGGGGTCATCTTGAGATAGTGTTGTTGGTTTTTTTTTTAAATTAATTGATGGATGAGATGCTTTAGATTGAACTTTTTTTGAAATTTATATAAACAACATTGTTTGTGCAATTCTCATAATGATGCCGTTAAATTCTTTTATGCGTCCTTTGCAGCGTTTGAAATTAAGGGATACTTGCGGGAAAAAAATTGCTAAAACAAAAAAGTAAATAAGGTACAGGAGTCTTTTATTTTCTATTTGCACGTATTTCTGCTACCCTAAATTTAAGAGTAAAAATAAATTTACTTGAGGACATTTTTATGTTCACCGATTTTTGTCTTACTCTGACAAAGTGGTGTATTATATAGATTTTAAACTTTAATAAAATTGCATGACTCGGAAAGATGTTTAAAATCAGATTTGCTGACCCATAATTAATAATTATTTTTTCCTATAAAAATAAAAAAAAATGTTGTTTAGAAATTAAGTGGGCGAATTCAGACTTTAAATATCAGATATATATTTTAGTCTATTGTTGTTTTTTTTTATTTTATTGGTTTTTTTAAAAATATTTTATGGATTTTTTTCTCACAATAAACGTATACTCTTTTCAAAACAAAGCAAATCGGAGTATCGAGAGATTGGCACATTATCTTTGATTTCATTAGCTTAGCAGGAAAACAATCAATCTGAAAATTACATTGGGTCTATATATTCTTACTTCATATTCTCTTTTAGAGAGGTCGCGTCGACTTTTTCTTTTCTCTTCATGTTCTTAAATAATCCATAGGCCACGAGAGCTGCGGGCACAGGGTGCTAAATGAGATTTAAAGCAACTTAATTTAAAAAAAAATCCTTAGGAAAAAATCTACTGAGAATCAATAGAGTTGTAAAATTTACAGAATATAAAAACGTTGATACTCGACAGAGATGTAACATTGACAGAATCATATAATCAAGGAGACTCCTAATTTTTCAGGTTTACGTTTTCCCCCTTAGACTTTATCAACGTGTTCTCGGTTGCAAGACAGTCAAGGGTTCTAAATCTGAGTTCCACTCTCTTTGAAGCGCCATCATCAAATAATTTCAATTATGATTTTTTCGGAATACCAGTGCTGCTGTGTTTTGAACTAGGTCTACACTTTTTAAAAACCCTTGTCTAATATTGCCGTACACAAGTCGCAGCAGTTTTATTATTAAAATGCTAAACATTAATGACAAAAACATACCCTAACAAGTGTCCAGTATAAAATGGACGCTTCAAGTTTCTTTTCCAAGACTGCGTCAATAAAAAGCACTTCAGCCTTGGTAAATTCAATCGCTGTAAGCAAGCACAAGAATAAATAAGCAAAATGATATATATATATATATATATCAAGGTATTAATTTTTAAATGTAAAATTTCAATTTGAAAATCGGTTGTATTTCAGATTTAGATTGAATTTTTTCGTCCAATGCGAGTAAATTAAAAGTTTTGAAAAAAAATATTTGTTTGTTTTTTTTTAAATTCAATTTTTTTTTTTTTGTAAATCCATTTCTTTAATTTAATAATATTTATCATAGGCTCTAGTAAAGTACTCCAATTTAAAACAGCCACCAAAAAGCAAAGCTGTTCATATTAATCCCGTATATGCATTTTTTTTTGCAACTATTGAAATGTACGTGATTTATCATTTATGTGATTGTAGCAACTGATTTTTGTTGTGGGAATTGTTTTTATCATACTTTGTGCAGCATGTAAACATAATAGACTAAACATACATTAAAACCCAAATGATAAAAAAAAACAAAAGCAAACATAACGTCCGCTACACAATTAATCGCCACACCAAAACACAAACCCCTTGAAATAATCATTAGCATTCCTAATTCAAAGTGATTTTAAAAAAAAGAAAAAATTTACCCTTTTTGTGAACATAATGTTTTCCAATAATTTGTTCAATTTGTCTTTGTATCTCCGAATGAATAGTTCCTAATGTCTTTTTAAAAAAAAATAAAATAAACAATAAGTATTGAGAGTAACCATTTTTAAAAATCATTCACACATACAAACACACACATATTTGTAAAAAGTTTATTTGCTATCTGCACCTAACAAAAACATTACATTTACTTAAGATTCGATATATTTACATGATGAATTTTATTTTAATACGTTTAAAGGAAATCTGTTAACTGTACAGATTAAGGTAAAAGGTGTTCTTGTTTTTTTTAATAATTTGATTCAATAAACATAATAACGAATAAAATCCTAAATTTTCTCTTACGGGTAATTTTCCGCACCAGGAAGCCTTTTGAAAATGAAAATAAAATAATTTTCAATTATATTGTGTTAATTAAAATTTCTAGTTTTTAAAAAATATTTTTTAATTATTTTTTGTTGACCGGGTTGTAAAAATTAACCAAAGTTTATTTGAGCATCAATGAAATAAGCTTTATATTAAAAAAACATTTCAAAATGAGCTTGGTATCCAGATAAGCTAAAGACACGAATTAATTTCAATACATTCGGATTTTTTAAAAAAAAACAATGATAGTGATTTTCTATTATTTTACCGATATGGAATAAATTTAAATGGTCAAAAAATATATATGCTTTTATTTTAAATATGTTTAAGTATTATTATTATGAATAACACCCACATTTAAAATAACTATAAACATTATTTTAAGCATTTTAATCGAATTTTAAAGTCACGATTTATAAATCAATGATTAAAGATCTAAGACTTCTTTTTATTAAAGCCTAACAACATTTATCGAGAAAACTGAAACATATGTTGTTTTTAGTACGTTGTTAATATTGCGAAATTTAATTAAAATTTAATTTGATCTAAATATCTTCAAACAATATCAAATTAAAATTTTCGAGTGCATTCAAATAAATAAACTGAATTTCGACGTACTGTGTTCAAGTGCTCGAGCATGCTTGCATCCGTTAAATATTTTATGAAATCCATCCCTTTTTGACAAAGGTGTGTCAAACAGTTCTGTCGGTAGAGTCTGACGGCAAGGGCTGATGTTTCTTCCAACCATTTCTGTTTGATGATATATTGAGGCTCTAAAATTGAATGGCCCTAAAGATACTACGTAATCGTATTGTATTTTCTACTTTCAATAGGTAAAAAAAAAATGAATTATATTGTTGATTTTTGTAAAACTTTACTTAAGAGGGTATCGCTGTATTTTTGTGTGGTCTGGATTCTTTTTTTTTTTTTTTCTTTAAAACAAACTAAAATTTAGAATAGAGGCATATTTTTATATATAGCATTTTCATTTTATTTTTTAGTTGGTTTTTTTTATTATTGTTTTTTGTTATAATTAATTTATTATATTTTTGATTTTTGTAAAACTTTACTTAAGAGGGTATCGCTGTATTTTTGTGTGGTCTGGATTCTTTTTTTTTTTTTCTTTAAAACAAACGAAAAGTTAGAATAGAGGCATATTTTTATATATAGCATTTTCATTTTATTTTTTAGTTGGTTTATTCTAATATTGTTTTTTGTTAGAATTAATTTGGGGCCGACCCTTAGACAAGATGTGCCTAGCTATAGAACATATTTAACCTGGCTCTTCATAACTAACTATGGACCAACTCAGAAGAATTAAGTTCCCAAAGTTTTCGAAATTGGCTTTTTGACTTTATTCTTTTCAGATAAGGAATTAAAGCAATTATTTAAGTTAAAATGTAAAAAAAAAATTATAATAATAATAATAATAATTACCAAATCTTCAGCTTTGCTGTTAGCTTCTGGGTAATCCTATAATGTAATAATATGAGTTGCAAACCAATTAAGTTTCTTTTAGGAATCAAAGTGATGAAAAAATCATACACGCCTTTCTTCAAAACACGAACTAAAGTGTATTTTCGATATTTTCTTGACTTATCTTATTGTATTATAGCTATCAGTTATTGCTGAAAACATTTTTTTAAATAATATTAAAAATATATTGTTTATTATAAAGTGTTGTGTTCTTTTCTTGAGTGTTAAGTTTATTGAAATAATGTAATTTAATATCTAAACAATGGATGTTTAGAAACGTATTACATTATCAATTTCAAACAATAATATTATAAATAATCTGCTAAATCATAAATTTTTTTTTACAATTTTACCTTATATTCAATCATTGGGGCCAGATGCACTTGGTTCAGATAAACGGACAATAGAACCATATCTTGACTATTCTTTCTCTTGTCTTGTTTTTCTATTTTCAGGAACTCTGATTTAAATAGAGCACGATGAGAAAAAGCTTTTTTTCGGGGAATAAGAAACAACACAACAGAAAAGAAGCACATCAAATTAAGACGGAAGAATAAAATTCGCACGAGAGACGTTTGATTTTAAAATTAAAACTTTAACCTCTCGGTATCAATCCTTTTGTACGAGCTGTAGATAATTACAGTAAGGTGGGCCTAAAACAACAAAATTCTTTATCAATTAACAGCTCCTAATACCTTTAAGAATAAACTCTCCAATGGAGAATATTTCTTTTTCTGAATATTTTGTCTCGATGTCCAAGACACACCTGTCATGGTCAAAAAGTTTGGAAACATTGATATCTTTATAATGCATATATATATATATATTCATTTATATATATATTATATTGCTTGTATGCTTAGGTTTTAAAATAAATATCTAATCATCTTGGTACAATAGTCTTTAATTTTCCAATTATTGAAATAATTCCTCCAAATTATAGAAAAAAATAAACTTTACTAACTAAATATATATACATATAATATAAGTAGAAAGACGACATAGAGCCAAATTATTATTTTATTTTATTTGTTGTTTACCTATTATTTTGTGCGTTGTCAATCTCAAATTTTTTCTAGAAGTGAAATGTGATAAAAATATGATAGCAAATTAGATTCCTAGAATTGACAGATTATATAAACTTTTGTGGTTGGGGTATTAAGTCTGTAGGCTCCAAGTTTCATTAATATCAAGCACTAGTTTTCAATGCAAAAAAAATATAAAAAATAATATAATATGTGTAATTATTGATAAATTTCGTTAACACTGTCCTAATGATAAGATTGTCGATGATACTCTTTCAATAAGTATTAATATCGTATCAGGACATCATAAATATACGACGAAGACATTGCAAAAAGTATAAAATTTCCTTGCAAGTTAGACCAATTTGATTGTCAGTAACAGAGCACTGTACAAAAATTCGTTTGAAACAAAATAAAATGATTTTTAAAAGAGCTTTATTGACTTAGCAGTATAAAGCAATATGTCTTGGTTGCTTGGTTGTTAAGAATCCAATTTTTAATCATTTAAAATAATTACATTTAAGAAGTATAGTATGGATCATAATGTAAGCCGGGGTGTTAGAATAATAATAATAATAATACTAATTAGTGGTCTTTTATAGCGTGGTACTCCAGCCTAGGGATGGGCTCACCGCGCTGTAAATAAAAACATATTATCAAAAGAGACATGTTCATGACACTATCGGTGTAAACTCTATTTTAAAGTAACGTTGAAAAATTACAAATGTGGAACGCGTTACCTTGACAAGTATCACCGTTACATAGCTTGGAATCTTTTGGACAACTTTATTGTAAGTGACATCACCACCCTCAAACAGAATAGCACAGTGAAATTTGGCATGTCCTGAGAAAATTTAAAATTATTAGACGACGTTATATATTTTTTTTTTTCAAAAAAGAGAAAATAAAAATAATTTCTTAGCATTTGCTCAATAAAAGCAAAGTGTTCATGAATATTTTTTAGAAGTCATTGGTCATATTAATTTTACATTGAAAAAGACGTCTAGAATCATTGGTCTGGAAATCAACCATTGATATAACACGGTGAATTGAATAAAACTATGTGGGAACGAAATAGTAAAAGCTCTGTTAACTTTTAAGAAATGTTTAAATTACTCTTTGTTGGAATGTTGTTTTTTTACCCCTATTGTCCATTGTTTTTGTATGAAAAAAGGATATTTTTCTCCTTATTCAATCTTGTCTAATCATATTTCATACTTGCAAAAAATGTTTAATTCATTTGCGTAATACTGTTCTTCGGCAATTTTAAGAAATGTATAAAATGTGTTCAATATATTTTTATTGTTTTTTTTTTTTCTCCTTTAAAAGTATCAGTTACCTTCATTGGGAGTACGTATTGTTTGCAAACGAGGTGAGTATCCCATATGTTCATTCTGTTATAAATTATTCATTTTATTATTTATTATTATTATGATTATTATTATGTGGCTAGAAATATTAACTTTACTATAACAATAACTTTTTGTATCATCATTATAAATAATTAATAATTTAAATACGACAATTCGTATTACTTGTACTAGAATCTTTCTCTATTATTACTAGTGCTATTTATACATTTTGTGTGTGTGTGTGTATATATATATTAATATATATTATATGTTGAGAAATTTAAACACTTTTATTATACGTTTTTATTACATGTTTGTTATAAGAAAATGGTTGATTAAAATGTGTGTATGTTTGTAATACCTCACACAAGAGGACCTTAAAGTTGTTTTTAGCTGACGTCAATTTTGGGTTTCCGAATGGTGCTCTAATGCTTCCAAAAAACTTGTCTGTACCTTGACATACTAGCAGAGAGCCTTGATTTTAAAAGGAGAAAGAAACCGGTGTGTAATTATTGTTTTTTTTACTAAATTCAGATTTCAATAGACATTTTTCTATTCAGCCAATAAGAAAATAATATAAAATAACATAGACTATTTTTGTTTTTTAAGTTTTTCAATTACCACCATTTATGAAATTTAAAAGATGTTAAATGTAAGAGTGCTGACCCTTACCACTGTCTGAGACCAGTTCTAAAATTTCCTTAATTAGACGTCTGCCATAGGGACTCTGAAGAGTTTGGTTTTCATCTGATCCTATCAGCCACAGTACGAGCTATTACAAAAAAGAAAAAAATAATAATAAAATTCTAAAACATTTTGATCTTACTTTTGAAACAATATGCGCCTTCCAAGTACAAAAAATATATACCGATATAAAGAATATGATCAAAATAATTTAAAATCATCATTTTCATTAAAATTTTATCGAACAAACGATTGAGGATACGATTGAAATGAACAATTAAGGTCAGTATAATATTATTTCGATCACTTACGTCTGATTTTATTTGAATTTTACTCATCATTTGTTCGACAGATTGATAACTGGATTCTAAGGTATTGCCAGTTTGGTTTCCCGGTGTCAACGAATAAAAACGGTACTGGAATTTGAAGAAAAAAAACAACAATGTTTATCGTTAACTTAGCTAGAGAAATCTAACATACTTATGTGGTAAGAAATGCAAACAGGTTGCGAGAAATAAAAGGTAAGATCAAATTTAAAAACGAGAGATAAGGTACACAATTTTTCTAGTCTTAACATGGAAGTAGAGCCAATAGCGTTACCATGGTTTGGGGCAATCATCTCTTCCTTTCTAGAAATCCTCGTTGGCAACCTCCGAATCTGACTGCTCTCGTGATACCATCCCTTGATGGAACCTGATCTGTTTGCACCCTGCCCCTGTCTGGTGACACCTTTTCTGATGACACCTGTTCAGGTGGCGTGCTCTTTTTTAAATTAGTTTTGTTATCAGAGCCACTAGAGCACAGCTGTATTTTTTTTTTATTTTAAATTTTGTTCCGCAACCCAATGTGAGGGCGTAACTAAGTGGGGGCAGAGGGGGGACAGATGTCCCTCGGCGCAAGACTAAATAGAGGCGACTAAATGTGCTTTGATAGTATTATATTAATGAAAATGATGGGTTAAAGACTTGAAAAAAGAAACGGGGACTCTTTAAAATGAATCTTGTTCCCGGGCGCCAAACACTCCAGCTACTCCTCTGGCGTCAACGGTATGATTCGCTCCCCAAACATCCCCCTTTGGACGCTGCCCAGTAAAACCAATCCTAAAGTATACAATTAAGCTAGTATTTTGTCACACATTTTAAAAATGTATTATGTTAGAGCTGCGACTGCCTTAAGTGTCAGGTTGTAAATTATATTACGGTATTCGGATAGTTACGGTTACTCTTCTCTGAATTATATAACTGCAATGTTAACTTACGTTTAGAACATTTGTCTGTTGGTTTACTGGCAAATTTTCCTCTCTTTGGACCTCTGCGCTTCTTTGGACCTCTGCGCTTCTTTGGACCTCTGCGCTTCTTTGGACCTCTGCGCTTCTTTGCACCTCTGCGCGTCTTTGGACCTCTGCGCTTCTTTCGACCTCTGCGCTTCTTTGGACCTCTGCGCTTCTTTGCACCGCTACGCTTCTTTGCACATGTTCCTCACTTTCTACATTCATAGCTTTTCGCACGTCATCGGAACCCGGCACTTCTGGGATCTACATTTCACACATTTTAAAATCAAATAATTATTTTATACAACAAAAAAAAGAAGGTATTTGTATCTCCATGAACTGTCTATTTGCTTTATTTTTTGCGAGATGAATTAATGACGTTACAACAATTAGTGGTCCAAAGGATTAAAGGAAAAAAAAAAACATTTAACTTTCAAACTTTGTTATCAATTTTGTTTTCGGTGACTGTTACCTTGGCACCATAAATCACCCATAGCCTGTCCCTGTGTCATGCCTCAAATATGTACACAGATAATCCCCGCCACCACCAATATACAATTTTTGAGAATTTTACCGCCCCTTGGAACATCCCAGTGCAAGATTCTATGTGGTTCCGCTCACTTAAGTACCCCCCCCCCCACACGCCCCCAGTATTATCAATTTGATGAATACTTAAATGTATATAAAATATCTTAGATTTTTATTAGCATTTACATTTAAATTCACTTACACAGATAATCCCCGCCACCACCAATATACAATTTTTGAGAATTTTACCGCCCCTTGGAACATCCCAGTGCAAGATTCTATGTGGTTCCGCTCACTTAAGTACCCCCCCCCCCCACACGCCCCCAGTATTATCAATTTGATGAATACTTAAATGTATATAAAATATCTTAGATTTTTATTAGCATTTACATTTAAATTCACGTCCTTGAAGTTTCTTCATTTCATTGATATATACAAAGGCGTTCATTATTATAAAGTTTAACATTAAAACTGACTACAGGCTATTTCTATTTCGTGAAATTGCACACTAACCCAGAAACATTTATAGACTAAAAACTAATTTTATTCTGCGTTCAAGAATTAATCTTTTCATGTCCCATGGTGCACCTGAGGCAGACGTTGTTTTCTTACTGTCAGATAAACGTTGACTGTGCACCTCTACAACTTGCAAGAAAGATGGTTTCTGTTCCCTTCTTTTTGTTTTACTACCTTTGAAATACTGCATGACTGCCACCCCCTTTTTCCCCCTGCCAATTTAACTTTTCAATGTTTTCAACAACTTCACTAGATGGTTTGTAATAATCTCTGATATTCCATGTCTCAGGACACGATTCGAGATAGCCTGCTGAAATGTTCACAAGAGAGAACAAACTAATCGTATTTTTATTTGTTTCAATTGTTTATTTTATGCTAATTTCTATTGTTTATTTTATGTTATTTTCTTTTTGTAAAAGTATTAGTTTATGTTTCATTTAATTTAGATTTCATGTAATACGCTTTTGATTGGGGGGGGGGGGGGTTTGGGTGGGGGGGGGGGGGGGGTCGAGGGTTCTTTCATTCCCTTTTCCCATTAAATAGTCTTCAATATTTCATTCGTAGGCTCCAACAGCAGAGATTTGTCCAAAAAAAAACCCCATACAAGCTTATCACTAAGCTGTTAAATGTGTTTTCAATTTTCTTGATTGGCAACGCTTTAGTGTTGCAGCCTAAACATTTTCATCTCCAACAAGTTTTTCAAGGAACTTTAGATCATTATTAGAAGCTGAAGTGCGTAAATGGCAGTAAATCATGCATTGATGTAGACCCTAATTAGGAAGATAACGTTTCACAAAATCGTTCTTTCCTATGCTACAGTGAGTTTGAATTATCAACGAAATTGCAATTGCTTTATTACACTCTATCAATGTTATCTTTTAAAATGCCCTTGACTATTTCATTAGCAGCAACACTTTCATAACACGATTTGTGAATTTTCCTACATGATTGCTTGAAGCGCTGTAAGATTTTGTACAGTGGGAAAAGTGATTTAGGTTCACTTACCCAAGACACATGTCAAAACAACTTTATAAGATGTAACAATGCACGGAGCTTTCCCTTTCCTTTTGATCCCCAGCACCTTGTGGACCGTGCGGGCTAGACGGAGTCAATAACAAGCTTGTGGACCGTGCGGGCTAGACGGAGTCAATAACAAGCTTGTGGACCGTGCGGGCTAGACGGAGTCAATAACAAGCTTGTGGACCGTGCGGTCTAGACGGAGTCAATAACAAGCTTGTGGACCGGAGTTCAATCCCCAGCAAGAGCATAGACAAGGAAAAAGGACTACCAGCACCTTAGAGTGGATGGCACACGTTACACTTGGCTGGCAACTTATTTAAGTGGAGGAAAATTCTGAAATCAACCGAGGAGTCGGTGTGCTGAAGGTGGTGTGATACTGGCAAAATAAAATTATGTAAATTCCAGCGACGTTGCTGTTACAAAGCTGCATCACCCACATATGGTGTTCCCTCGGGTTATCCAAGTGTTTGGGGTGATGAATTGCCGTACAGGGAACAAAAGGGAACAAACGTATGCTCCTGAAGAAAAATCATAATCCTTGTGGATTCCTCCTGCGAGGTCTACGCCATCGTCACTCTATGATGTATGCACCATCGTTACACCGTGACGTCCACACAATCATTACACCAGACGTCCACACCATCGTCACACAGTGACTTTAACATTATCGTTACACCTTGAGGGTTACACCATCGTCACACTGTGACTTCTACACCATCGTCACCACGTGACGTCAAATCCGTCTTCACAGAGTGAATCATAATAAACCATCGTCCCATTGTGACGGACGGATGCGAGGGGAAAAAAACACGAATATATATTACAAGAAATAATTTTGAAAATGAATTATCCTTACATTTTCTCCAGTGTTTGATATGGAGTCCGAAGCAGCAGCTGGTAGTGAATCTCTAAAATATAAATATATAAATTTACATGAAACCTTTAAAATTTATCAAATGTATGTGTCATTATGTATTTTGATTGCGTGATTTTACTTTGAATAGTTATCTGAATTAACTTGAACTACAATAGTTATTATAAAATCACTATTAAAAGTAGTTAGTTGTAGTGGAATTCGCTGTTGCCCTGGATAGCAACCTTTTCACAGTTTTAGAAACGCACGAGGGTCCTGCAACGAGAAACTTGAGAACGTATCATTCTTAGGGCTCAGCCAAGTGCAGCTTTACACCCTATGTGGTACACTTAGAGACCATAACCGGTTGGTCCAGTTGTTACCAAAAGACGTTACTTTTCATTGCCTATATTTTGCTTCACCCTATGGGGGAGTAGTTAAAAATGCCTGCATTAACCAGTAGCACTGGCTTCAAAGCACTAATTGCTCAGCAGAACACTCTTAGGCCGACGGTTCTCAACCTTTTCTTTCGCACGAAGAAAATTAACAAGATAATTTAGTTGTTATTGTTTTAAATGATATTCAGACGCTCAGTTAAAAGATAGGACATATTTAATTTTTTTTTAAAAAGACAGTTTGTGACAATAAGGAGTTTGAGAGAGATTTCAGGTATATGATTTTACAACAGCCGGGAAGCATTTATTTATTCTGACAAGATTGTAGAACCAATGAAATAGTACTTCTTTAGGTCCAAAGGCGCATTGGTCACATTGATGCTTTTAATGGTTTGTCAGACGAGTGTTGCCTGTAGACTAGCACCACAATGCACATTGCTTCCCACATCTTCCTGTACAATGTGAGAGGAGTCATTGACATCATAGGCATATTCTCTTAATTCACACACAGCACAGTTACATGCATCCCACTCAAACAAAAAAGTAGCCAAATTTTTGTTTATACACCGAGAGAAGAAATGATATTGGAGTGATGGAAAAATTAATACTAGTGAGGTGGGTAAGAAAAATCGGGCGATGAAAAAGAAACGTCTAAGAGGTAAATTTAATGAGGCTGCAGTTATAAAAATGAGAAAGTATTTGTTGAAGGGAAAATGTTAAATGCAGGTTTGAAAGGTAAGACTAATATATATCAATATATACATTTCTAAAAAATGTATATGTTTCATAGAAGAGTTTAAACGCACTGAAATGGTAAAATATTTAAATTTCTTGATATGCATAACGCAAAGCCTGTTAGGTGAGTTACGTGGTGAGGTGAGTTGGTAAGTGAGGTCAGTGAGTGAGGTAAGTGAGTGAGTGAGGTTAACTAGTGCGTGGGTTAGGTGAGTTAGTGAGATTAGTTAGCACGTGAGGTGAGTTAGTTTGTAAGTGAGGTTAGTCAGTGAGTGAGTCTGATTAGTAAGTGAGAGTAGATAGTAAGTGTGGTGAGTTTGTGAGTGAGGTGAGTTAGTTAGTGAGTGAGGTGAGTTAGTTAGTGAGTGAGGTGAGTTAGTGAATTAGGTTAGTTAGTGAGTGAGTGAGGTGAATAAGTGAGATGATTGAGATGAGCTAGCGAGTGTGTGAGGTGAGTTATTTAGCGAGTAAAGTGAGTTAGTAAGTGAGTTAGCGCGAGAGCTAGTGAGTGAGTGACGGGAGTTAGTTAGGTGAGTAAGTGAGTGAGTGAGTTGAGCTAGTGAGTGAATGAGTTGTGTTAGTGATCGAGCGAGATGAGTTCGTGAGTGAGGTGAGTTAGTGACGTGAGTTAGTGACGTGAGTTAGTGACGTGAGTTAGTGGCGTGAGTTAGTGACGTGGGTTAGTGTAGATGGCGTAGTAGAGCAAAGGGGGGGGGGGCTTTGAGTGAGGAACANGGGGAGGGGGGGGGAGGGGGCAATAAAAACGTCAAGAAGTCGGTCTTGACGTTTTCATGGGCAGAATCGATACAACCACACGATAATCGATACAATTATCAAGTGCACACCATTCACTTTTTTAACCAATTTGTTAGTGTTGGGTTTATAACTTTTAGACATAAGAACTCTACAAGAAATGTCGTAAATAGAATTAGAATATGTATAGTTTAAAATTTTACGTTGAAATTTTTATAGCAATGAAAAATATATTTAAAAGCATTAAGGGTATTCAAAATCATTATCATAGGTAATTACCCCTGAGTTATATCACGTGACGTTGTGGTTTCATCTACGGAGACTGATGTCATCTGTTAACGGAATAGCATGTAAAG